AAAAAAAAAAAAAAAAAAGGAAAATTCTTTTTCTTTTTTTGAAAAGTGTCAATTGAAAATAAATTTTAGTTTTTGAACTTTAACAATAGATACAATTGGCTCACGAATCCAATTGAACCCTCTTTAGACGGCAACAAAATGCGATCAGTTGTTCTGCTGCTGTTGACCACTGTTGATCATTGATGGCCACTGATGACCACTGTTGACCATCAACACTATGATGTTTTTAGACTGCTATTTCTAATATCTTCCTTTTTTTTAAATATAATTTTTTTTTGCTGTTTTATAGCTGGTAATCAGCAAAAAATTTACCTATACTTATTCAAAAAAGAAAAATACCTTACCTGAACTACTTAAATGAATACAATTACGATTGCTAAACATTTTGAACCGCAGTAAACAAGCAACTTGTTGATGGTTAACAGGAAACTGTTGAAGTTAATTTTTGCATAAATTTAACGTTTTTTATGATAATTTGATGTTACTCTATCTGCTATTATACTGTTCTGTGGTTGCTGCAGTTCGTTTGGTAATTAACCCTCTTTAAAGCCAAATTTATTTTTTTGTTCACTACCACTAATTTTCGTTTTTTTCTTGACTTTCTTTTCTTTAATCTACTTTAATTACTCTTCAATTACAGTACTCACACTAAAATTTAAACTTCCTTCCTCTTTTTTTTTCGTTCTTTTTTAAATAAAATTACTTTTCAATAAATAAACGTGCTGTAAAATTTTTTGCATTCTCTCTTCTGCTAATTCTTTCTTGTTTACTTACAGATGCAAATAAACAGGTACTGTTATACAGTGATTTTTGCACTGTTCTATACGGCAGTTTTCGCAAGCGGAAAATTTCAGCAGCAAGTTAATTTTTTTTTACGCTCTAAATTTTTTATGACGATCAAATGTTTAGGATGTCTATAATAGTAACTACTCAAATTACCGATAAAACTAACAAGTTTTATGCAGTTGATTATTTGTTAATGGTGCAAGAAACTGTATATGAAGAAAAGTAGGAGGGAAAAAAATTGTGTTATAAAATCATTGTCAACCATCAGTGAAAAACTGTGAATTTTAGTTGACGCTTTTAATTATTTATTTGAAATTTAAGAACTCTAATTCTACGATAGTCCCTCGATCAACCTTATATTCAACTCGACTGAAACTGATCAGGAAAAAACGGTGTTGCAGCTCTTGCGGTGGTCTATCTTGTACCGGCTGTGGCGTTTGCCCAGCAACTGTATGTGTTACTTCCAATATTTTACAGAACTTTGCTTATTTTCAAAGCTTAATTAGTGCTTGAAAAAACCGGAAGTGAATAAGTGAATATTTCTTAGATATGTTCTTTTTGTTTTTTGTGTTTTTTTAGAACACATAAAACAATTCTTGTAGCTTTCTCCAATAGAAAAAGTGTATACTTACGTTTCTGAAAAGTCTTCAAAAATGAGTAGTCAATAAACTGCATAAATAACTATAACTGACTATTCAGACTTCTCATCTACCTTCATTATTTTTCAATCAACCTATTTCTGCCACAGCTCAAAAAAATCTTAGAAAAAGGATTTTCATACTTATTAAGAAGTTCCTTATGATTTTGCTGCATTGAAGTACCCTACCAAGCAAATGTAGAAAATGCTTTTACAGGTATGCCCTCCTGTCTGTATGCCACTTTGCGAACCTTCATGTTTGGCCAGCCTGCGGTGCTCAGATAACTGCTACCCAGTCTGCTCACCACCATGTATGCAATCGACTTTAAACTGCCATCCAGCATGTATGCCTAGTTGTCATCCACTCTGTGTTCAAGCGCTGCAACCTGCAGCAGTAGCACCAAGTTGTATTCAGCAATGCATGCCAGCTTGCTTACCAGAATGCGTACAGGCGATACAAACAACAAAGTGTGTACCTCAATGTATGCCGCAGTGCTCTCCAAGCTGTATCCAGTCAATACCTGCAGTAACTTGTGTTCAAGCTTGTATGCCGGCTTGTGAATCAGCTTGTATTCATGCAGTTCAACAACCTCACTGTGTGCAACCTTGTATGCCAGCATGTGAGATAAGCTGTATTCAAGCAATACAACCAAACTGTCCATTATCTTGTATGCCTTCCTGCCTACCAACGTGTATTAAAGCTGTTTCACCGGTATGCGTTCAAGCCTGTATGCCTAACTGTCATCCAGCTTGCATTCAAGCAGTTCCAGCTGCACCATCTTGTATTGCGCCATGTATGCCATCTTGCCAACCACTTTGTATCAAAGCTGTAACTTGCTCCTCCTGTGGTTCAAACTGTCCAGATATGTGTAAGCAAGCAGTATGTGTGCAACAGTGTATGCCGTCTTGCCAGCCGACATGTATCAATGCTGTTTGTTCCAACTGCGGTAATAAATGCCCTTCATTATGCCCTAGGTCGGCACCAGTCTGCGTTCAGCAGTGTATGCCGTCTTGTCAGCAAGCCTGTATTAGTGCTGTATGCTCAAACTGCGGTAGTAATTGTTCCCCAATGTGTCCAAGACCTGCAGTGAGCTGTATGCAACAGTGTATGCCGTTGTGTCAACCAGCATGTATGAAAGCAGTATGTTCTAATTGTGGTACCAGTTGTCCAGCAGAATGCCCTCAACCAGTAAAAATGTGTGTTCCACAATGTATGCCAGCATGCCAATCCGGATGTATTTCTGCTGTCTGCTCTAACTGCGGAAATAACTGTCCGTCTCTATGTCCAAAAAAAATCTGTGTGCGTCAGTGTATGCCAGCCTGTCTTCCATCGTGCACTCAAGCTGGCACGGTTCGTTATCTTAAATTTATTTTTAACTCTTCTACTTCAGAACTGATCAATTCGTGAAATGTTTACCGTGGGTTAGTAAGAAAACGTTTTTTATTTTTTAAACAGTTGTTCTTCAGTAACCACAAAAAATATTTTTATATATATCGACTAACACTTTCGCTTTCTTTTAAATCTACTAAACTAAAATCACTATGCTTCTTCTTTCGTTACTGTTTTGCTGTTAATCTTTTTGCATAACAATTTTCTCTACGTCAACAGAACTTAAAAAAAGCGACACTCAAAGGGTGTTGGTTTTTATCTATGAGAATTTTTCAATAGAGCATTTATTCATGCGAAAATTCTTGCATGCCTGTTTGCCTGACAAGCTGTTCTCTTTATACCACTGGATGCTATAACTACTGTCACTCGAGGTGTAAAGTAGCATGTGTAAATGTTCGTATTAAAGCCACCACAAGATGTGAACCACGCTGTATGCCTTACTGCTATACAAGCTGTGTCGCTCTGAG